AAAAACTAAAAATGGTTTTAAAACGAAATTTTATTTATTTATTATTATTTCTCAGGGAGAAAAGGCAATCATCTGAAATTTATTAATACCAACACCGTATGAATGGATTCTTCCTCACTCTCGACATCATTTACAGATTTTTTATTCTTCCTCAAATAGGAGTGATGCACCCCACCATTGTCTTCTGAAACCAGTTTTAAATAGCCCGACATTGTTACGAATTTATTTTAAAAGTATCTTTTACATCCAACCCAACTTGCCGATTATCAATCAATTAACATTTTGTTACTGCACAGCGCACGAAAAACACTTGTTACTAAAATGAATTTGAGTGATTAACTGTACGTCAGCAATACGTGCTGTTCCTCTCGCGACTCGAAATTGTGGAGATGGAATATAGAATCACTTTATCTGAAACTGGTTTCCTGTTCACCATCAGCTCGCAATATTGTACAATTCCCCGATGTACAAAAAAATTTATCTCTCAAGCTGCGTATGTATAATTCCAGGAAGCAAAATATTGACAAAAATTGGTAGATTAAATTTGAGGTACTGACAATTTTGGGGAAAAATACAAATACCAATGAACGATTTCAAAGTTGAAGTCTACATGTTGGATAAGTTTTCTGGTGACAAATTGTGAGATGAGAGAAGTCAGCGTTCGTTCGTAAACACGAGATAGTACACTACTAATATATGCTTGTATTCAACCGGACGATTGACTTTATATATAGTATATCACTGTGAACATACCATTGGATTGTTTCCAAGGGTCATTAACAATGTGCATATAATAGTTTATGATAGCACGCATGAAAAAATTCCACAGAAAATCCTGACGTTTTCGCTATAGATTATCCTAACGGAAATTCTCTTCGTTTCCGGTTGATTTCTATCATGAAAGTCGCTATTTTACTGCTAGTTTTTATATTTAAAAAATATTCCACTGAGTGAATACAAGAAAAATCGGTCAATTCCACATAATTTAAAAAGTTATTGCCGATTTCTATTCATTTTTCATGTTTTTTCTGTGTAAATTTCGAGGAAACCCTCGATTACATTGACGAGAAAAAAACATCCCGTTTTTAAGTGTTATTATTATTTAATGATTTACAAATTTTCATAGTCGTGTGTCTATTTTTATGAATTTTTCGTCACATTTTGTGAATTTTTGCGAAAGCTTTGTTTTGCAGAAATTTTATCAACCGTTTCGCAGAAATTTATAAAAAACTTGAAAAATCAGAAGCTATCGGCAATAACTCCTTAAGGTATCGGTATATATTTTTTTCAATTGCAAGGGCATTCATATCAGGTCATTCTCAACAGCCAGATTTTATAAGAAATTAGTGGAGCAGAAATTGATATTTTTTGTAAGTAGTTGAAAAACACTGAGAACTCCTGATTACCATTGCTAAAAAATGCTCCTTAACTCGATTGTTTATGGTAAAATACTTTGGAAAATGTCAATATATTTTCTAGTCGTTAATAAATTTACTTCGCAAAAATGGATTCAGTTGGATTTAATTGAAGCATTCAGTTATTAAAAATTATAACATTTCCTTCTTTTAGTGTAGACCCTGTCGGACTTTTAGGCGGCCCACCCCCTGTACCACTTTTGCCATGTACCAAAAAAAATCTTAACGCATTAAAAAGGAAAACATTTGGTAAAATACAGTCATCTCTTTTTTTTATGAGATTCCCGTTCGACAATGACCCATAATGAATGGAAAAATTAAATACGCTAGAAATGGTACCGGTGTGAATCGAACTTGCGATACTCCACACGTAAATCTGACGCCTTAACCGCCTTTGCCGTCGGTCACAATTACTATATATACTTGGAAATTGTGATAATAACAAATTTTACAGTCCCTGCCTGAAAAATTCACTCTTTGGAGTTAATTAGCAAATATCAAGTTTTCATTTTTTGTATACACAATCGAATTTACTCCACTCATGAACTCAAACTTCAGTCCGCCCATCTAGAAAAATCAGGACTTTGGACCCACGAAATCATCGCAAGAAAACGAAAATTATTATTTTTTCTGCAGATAGAATCGCGCGAAAATGATCCCGTACGATTAGCTGAACTAAAAGAAATTTCATGTCTCAAGTAAATCTAGATGACGGAAGCAAAATTCATTTTGCAGGAGTATTCGTTTTTAATGGAATACCTTTTTTTACAAATTAGATTGCCGATGAAAAAGATCACAGAAATTTCTTTTCCTCATCCAATAATTTTTTCTATAAAAAATTTTTTCTATAAAAAAATTATCCTCTTCCAACCAGGAAGTATTTTGGAATTTTTTATAAAATTCATAAAGTTCACAATCTCAACATTTCAAAATTTATTATTTAATCTTATTTTCACCTGCTTTTTTCAACTTGTGCTTGTACTTGTAAACCGAAATAGTGTAGAATGTACCGCATTTTATTTTTGTATAGAGAAAAAAAATGTAACTCACAGACAGATTTTTTCGTCATTTACATTGGTTTTTCCGGCCATCTTAATAACTCCACAGTGTTCGAAAATATCTAAATTATATGTTTGCAAAAATTAAAGTGTGATAATAACACGACAAGTAGACAACACTAATTAAATAAATTCCCGATGATGTCATGCTCTTGCCATGAATTGTCCCCAAATACGTAATACGTCACTTGCACTGTGTCAGTCCGAGATAGAACTGTTTCGATTTTCTTCACTGCAGGCGAACGAACCGAGCAAAATAAAATAAAAAAGGAAAATGATTAAGAATTTTCTGATATTAGAAAGTGACTCCCACGAGTAGTTTCCGTCTTCTTCAAACACAATTTTTGTTTTCTCGATCAATGCTATCACATTCTTTCTGTATTGTTATCGATACTGAATTTATCTCGTTGATATGAAATATTTCTTGAAGGGTGAGAATTGTCTTCTCGGGATCGAATTCTTATCGTCGGATATTTTCGAGGACTAAGTAAATAAATTTTCATGAGCTCATCAACGAATAGAGGGAATCCCTTAGAAATTCTATAGATAGATCGATGATCCCCTCATCTTATCTGTCATGCACAATCACTTCATTATGGTTCATGCAAAATTCACGCAGATGACATATTCTGAGACAACTTAATTAACACTAAGAAACAAGATAAGGCGGCAATTATCACATGATAATCAGTGCCATCGATGGTAATGTCAATGCAATGAATAGCAAACTGTAAGTGAGAACCGGCTAGATAAATAACAGAATAAAGATAATGACAAGCGAACAATCAATTTAATGATCTAGTCTAAAAAACTAAAAAAACAAACCTTTGGAATTCCATATTCTATAATTGATTCCACACAGGAATTAATCACATTACATTCTCACAGAATTCAATGTTCGGTTCATGGTTGAAAAGTTTAAATATTAAAGGGTAATTAAAATTTCTAATGAATGGAGAAGGGCCTCGGTCGAGTCAACACCGCAACTGACAACAATGACAATATGTACGGATTTTATAAGCTACGGCACTATAAGCTATGGACAATCACTGCGATAGAGAGATCTACTCAAGTACATACAATCTGCAACACCAGCCAATTTCGATAATATGTACGTACATTTATAGTCTTTCTTATTGATTCTCCATGACCTGTTATTGAGGAAACGAGGAAATCTTTTTAGGGGCGTCGACGCTACATTTTTATTTATTTATCAGCCAAATTCATCAGGATGAACCAGTATCATATCAGTCAAGATGAATATCTTTTCGTTCGAATTCGTTGTCAGTCGCTCATGCGACAATAAAAAACTGTCGATTAATCCGAAGATTGACTCTACTCAAAAATTGAATTGATGACTCTTTGTAATTAAATAGACTGGAACATTGGCAATCAAACAATTTGTTCTCATTCAGTTAAATAGATTAAGGGCAAAAACGAGATCTTGAGCGATTAAAAAGATTTTATCATGGTGAATGAACATGAAATTTTTGAGGGTTCGATTGATTCAATTGATTATTTAAAATAGTATGTTAATAAATATAATGAGAGTAATATACAACAAGCAATAAGTAAGTAAGCTGGAATGGTGTCCTGATTGGTGAAAATATAGTCTATTTCTACGTAAAAATTTCGTGTAAAAATCCCATGTATTCGTGCTTTGCACTTTCACTAGAAATGATGCAGCAGAAATTAGTGTACCTGTCGTGAGCGTGGTTCTGCTGGTTCATCTTTACAAATAGATTTTCCTGTTAATATTCGAGACACATATCAATAACGAAGATCCTGCCTCGCGAAGGAATTCTTCACAAACGACCGATCACAACTGATCGCTATCATTTAACAACGGGTTCCACATCATCTTTGTGTTTACAAATATGACACCAATACTAAAATATCGAAATAATGACTTTTATTAAATTCTCCGCTCCAACTACGAGTTAATTGGACTGATGTACATTACAAAATTGATTGGCCATTTATAAGGTAAATTATCGCAGTTATCGTACAAAGCGAAAGGTTCTTACAACTTTGAATAGATAAAGAGGCAATTTTAATATTCCTACAATCAAATTGATAACAAAATTCTTACACTTAGTCGAGAAACATGAAAAACTCAGACATTGGCTTTCTATTTAAAATGTTTTTCTTCTGTTGATGTCAATTAACTGAAAGAAATGATGGCAGCATTGGTGACTTTGGTGTAATCACATTATGAATATGGGAATTATGCATCACCATCTTGGTGCAAATTGTGGAAAATCTTTCTTGATTCCTCAATTTTCGAAATATTACAACCTTGATGTCTCTTACAACTCCTCGTGTTTCGTCCCATCATCTGAAAAATTTATATGAATTTCATCAGAATAATGAAACAGTACTTTGGGAATATTTGTATAAATGAATCGGCGAGTAGTACCTGCATCGACTTTGTCTTCCTTATCAGTCTGTTTGTTTTCATTCTCTATAGTTTGCTGTAGCGTTTTGATCTCTTCGTCATATCCAGTCCATTCTGGAAGGATTCGCATTGCTGCTTGAAGCTTTGCTTCCTTAGTCATCGGATTATTACACTAAAAAATGGAATAAAAACTGTTAATTTCGTTGAATAACATATGAGTAGAAAGTGTAGTATTCCCACTTCTTTTCAACAAAAAATTAAAAATAAGTGGCACGCAACCAAGCATGAAGATATAAAAAAATGGAAATTTGTTGTTGCTTATGAAAAATGTAAAGTGGTTATTTCCGATTGTGTTTTTTTTCGTATCACTAAGATATTTTGTACCATTATAGTAACAACAGTAAAATAATTGTAAAAATAGTAGCTATATAAACTCTTATGTCTAATAATTCAATATTCTATAACTCAATTTAAAAGTAGAAGTAAAATGGTTCACGGGAATTAAATCCATGGGTCAACTTTCCATATATGTCGTAGCATTTAAGGACGATTATAGAATTTTTCCAATTACCTGGTTCAGCTACCATTTACGTTGAATAACATGTCCTAATTTTATTATTATTCGTGAATTTAGAGGTATTCTTATCGAAAGAAGATTAATTTTTTAATAAAAATTGCAGACACGGAAATTTCACACACACGTTCGCATGTGAAATGATTTTCTTGTATTAAATACAATAAAAATATTTCAATTCAATAAGTAATATAGAAAAATTTAATTCTATTGACTCTTTTTAGTTAAGATATTTTACTGAGAATTTCAAATGAAATCCAATACGACTCTGCGCTAAATTCGTTAGACGTTTCAATTAAATTTTATCATGGATTAATTTTAAATTGAATAAAAGTTAAATGTTAAGTTACTAAACTCACCAAATCGATAGTTTTTGCATATTTTTTCGATGCATCATTGCACCAGGTTTCACACCAAAGCCACTCCTGTGGCAATGTTTTAATAGCCACCTGATGAATCATATTATTTGGTAAATCCTGATCTAAATTTGATAAACTGTTGGGATCTGGACTGAGCGCTTGATACTGGCCCCTCAATCTATCTCCAGCAGCTATTCGTCGAAAACGTTTGAGATCAACAACATAAAGAGCACTGATGTGATAAGATCTACCCTGTAGATGAGTTTTCCAATATCCCTGTTTCCAGAATCTAAAACCTTCCATCTCTTTTCTACTATCACAGAATGGCGTGTAAGCGTAGGGAGCACCTTCGAGATCTAAATTAACGAGTTCCTTAAGATCTGCCCTAACTACTTGATCAGCATCAACAAAGATGATTTTCTTAACATCCAGGGGAAATAATACGTCCAAGAAGAGAATTTTGTACCCCCAAATGGTTCTCTGTTTTTCCGTTTGTTGATGGAGCCATCTTGGCCATTTGTACTGAATCAATTCATATTCGAATCCATATTCCTTGGCCATGTGAGGTAAGAAATCCTTCAACGTTGGAGAAAGATAATTCTTCAAGAACCAAAACTTCACTGGACTCTTCGTATGTTTTAATACACTGAGCATCATTATTTTCAAGAATCTCTCGTATAAATGACCGGATGCCAGGGAAAATATATTTATTTTTTCTTCACCGTCTTCTGGATCTTCACTTCCAAGTGTCCTGAGAAATTATGGAATCATATATTGACGTATGTACGAAAATACTTATCACACTAGTTAATAGTTAATTGGTACGTTATATTAACTCTTTCTGATAATATTTGTTCGTCATAAATAAATTTCAATGGATGATTAAAATAGCTTACCAATAATCGGAAAAGCTAGAACAAAGTATAGCTATTTAGCTATTTTCCACTTTCTTTAGTAATTGGTGGCATAATAGATTGTAAATTATCAAAGAGGAAAAAGAAAATAGAGAGAAATAAGAGAAGTGAATGTAGCATGTTAATTAATCGTACCTCGAGATTGAACTCCAAATGCCCGATTTTTTTTCATCGTCTTCAGCAAGAAGATCCATATCGAGTTTATCTGACTTTTTCGTAACTTTCAGTTTGAGGACATGACTTTTTAACGAATTGATGAGCACTCTGACAGCATTACCATGCTGGATCACGTCATGACCATCCACTGAAGTTATGTTGTAAATTTCTGCAGATCTACCGTGGCGAAGGCGAAGAATCCACTCGCCAGGATTTGCTTTTAGTTGGAAGTATCCCAGATTTGCCATCACTATTGTGTCAACCATCGCATGAGTATCAGTTCCGAGAGTTATTTGAAGTCCTCTGGGAGGATTTCCCATTGTAGCTTCGAAACAGTGGCCTTCAAGGAGCAGGTATTCAAGTTGGAATTCACTGGAAAAAGTCAAATAAGTAAAAATCTCATCTCCTGATTTTTCTCGTCAAACAAAATTTAGTTATCCCAGTAATTCCACCAAAAATCCTATTTCTCATAGAATTCCTTAACAAAAAATGAGTATGTGAAGAAAAACAACAGACGTAATGAGCAATTTAGAATGTTCAATCAAATAAGCAATAATTCAACCGACAGTAGTAGCCGTATAGTTGGTGTTTCACCAGCATGTCAATGATCCAGGTTCGATTTCGGGCACCGGCGATAATCCTGTCAAAAGGACGACTGTCCCAGGCCAGGTTTTTTCCCTCATATGAGGTTTTTCCCTCCCTTCAGCAAATTCGGTACAGGGGATTGAGGATGAGAAGGGAGCGAATGGAGAGAATGGTAAAGACCCGCGAGAGTATACAAGAGAAAGTTTTTAAATATTAAAATAAGTAATAATTAAATTTACCTGTGTACCCCCATGGCAACATTATCCAACTTGATATTATCCAAGTCATAAACACTCTTGACGACTTGAACCATCCAATTATCCGGTGCATGAATATTCTGCGTTAAAAGTGATGACGTTGGTAATTTATTGAATTTGGCACTAGCTCCGACGAGTTGTCCCTCCGTATTGAACTGAAGTTCAGGTTCAAAAACGAATCGATAGAAATTCTTGAGTGGCATGTCGCTATTTTTATCAACGCAATTCAAAAATATTTTGATATTACAATTAACAGCCTGTTGGAGTGTATTCAAAATAGCGCCCAATTTCTGAGCACCACGAGAGACTGGATCCACAATGGCAATTAAATTGAAAGCAACTTGATCAGAATTACGAGCCGGTATTTTAACAACACTGTGATCTTCACCACTGGCTATCACGTCATGTCGACTTCGAGTCTGTGGTCTAGGTACCAGCAGCGATGCTATTTCCATTATGACATCATCAGAAATTTCCTTCTCCTCTTCATCATCAATCGCATGAATTTTCTCCAAATTTGTGATCAATTTCTCACCGTAGGTACTGTGACTGAAACGCTCTAAGAGAGCAAAATCTTGACTGGAAAATGTTTCATCATCATCCAAAGGTCCAATGACTTTCCCATTGCATATCACAGCTCGTTGTGTTGTCGAGGATTCGTCCATCCTCAGAGCAATATTTGCAAAATGCTTGTGAACTTTTAGGCTAAATTCATAATTCAGCGGATTCTCATCAAAATCCACTCCAATCTGCTCACGGTATGCATTACGATCGAACTCCCCCTTTTCAATTAGAACTCCATTTTCCTCCTTTAGAATTTCTTGGATATAATGAATGATTTTATCATGATTTTCAGTTGGATAGTCAGTGTTCAATGCCGACAGGACAATTTGATTCATACCAATCTTATCATCATATTGGTGACTATTACTGTTAATAATGACCCCTAATCTGACGTCTGCGTTAGACTGGAGGTACTCCAAAGCTTCTCGGAGTAACAGTCTGCCGTCCGGATGCTCTAAATTCGTGACAATCCAGTAAGTGTATAGATGTTGAGATTTCTTTCTTCTCGGCATGTACAAATAATTTGAATTTTTAATTATCCAAGCTGAAGTATCCTCAGGACTCCATGTAGACACGTCCTGCGTGCTCGGAACTTCTCCCACCAAATTTAACCACTGAGTTTTATCATTTTTAAGAATTCTCTCATTCAATCTTGGCATAATATTGGGTTGATTCATCATGAAATCAACAATGTCATCCCCTTCAGTGACTTCACCTTTATAAACAGCCTTTTGCAGCATTGATGTTTGGGAATAAATCATGGATAAAACAATTTCCTCGAGGGACTCGGCCTCAACTATACTGGAAACACCTTCCAGTGGAACACCATTCAATAACGCCTGAGGGAAATTTTTGAAACCAGTTCTTCTTATAAAATCATTTGCCAAATGCCTTCCAACGTCGTACTCAGACTCTTCACCCAAAATGTAATAAACATTTGCCGAGGGATCTCTAGATCTCAAGGCTTTCACAACATCAGCAACTTGCAGATCGTTTTCATTATTTTTGTCATTGCCATCAGATGATTTTCTTTTTTCAACATCTTTCAACAAAACTGAGAGAAAGTAAACAGCTTCCTTGGGTCCTTTACTCTCTAATAAATAATGAAAAGCATTATTCACAGCGATGCTAGGATCATTTTGACCTGTCAAGGATGTATCAAAATTTGTATTGAAAACAAATCCGACTCTGATGGGGGCTGAATGTGCATAGAGTGTTTCTGCAGTTGTTATGAGAGGTCTAGAAAGAGGACTCAGTGGATCAACGACGAGAATCAAATTGTACAAATTTCTGCGAATATTTCTGAGCATTCCGGGAAACGTTGGACGCAATAATGATGTTAAGCTCGGAGACCATCGATTATAACGTGAATCACTCTCCAAATCGTTCACCCAAATGATAGCAGAGTCTCTGATATCAATAGCAAAATCCTGACTATTATCCGAGGTTTCAGACCCAGCAAGATCTAAGGCCAAAAGCTTTTCCATTTTACTATTACTCACACCAATTTTATGGAGTGTCTCCATCACTGTGAGCTCCGCACGAAGGGTTTCTAATAATCCCAGAATATCAATTGCATCCAAATCAAAGAAAAGACCATTTATGAATAATGCTGTATCCGTTGGTTGAATATGCAATTTTCCAAAAAATAACTCCTGATTTCTCTTTATTTCTTTCTTCATTTCATTCGTTACTTTAGTTCGAATTAATGATTTCGCCTGGGTTGGAAAATTTTGGGCAATATCTGTGAGTACTTTAATGGCTTCCAGCGATGGAGATTTCATGATTCTCTCGGCTGCTTGATGACTCAATTCCTGGAACTGCCACACTTTCAAAGCACCGATTTCATCACTCGTCTCCAGAAGATGCTTCTCAAATTCATCGAGCTCTCCGCGTTTGTCCGGATAGAGACTCCTCAATACCCCAAAGTTAATCCCATTTATTTCTTCTACTCCTTCATTCTCATACTCTTCTTTACCAGAATTATCTTTGATATCCGAATCATCAGTTGCTTTGTACTCAGTTGATTTCATTTGAAGTTCAACTCCATATCCTGCTAATCTCAGATGATGTTTTGGCCGATCCTTGACATAGTGTCGCAGGATGTAGCTGATTTCTTTAGCATCAGCTAGACTTTTCAGTTTGAGGTGGAAATCGCTGAAGCCAACAGATCCAATTTGACCATAAAGAATCACATAATTACTATTTACTATTGATTTTTTCTTGGATTCTGATTGTCCTGACAGTGGCACTGGATATTGATGATCCAACGAATAGATAGTCCTCTCCTCATCATCATCCTCTTCCTCATCAATTCTAGACTCCAAAGATTTTAATAATTTTTCTACATTATTGGAATCACAAGTAAGCTCTCCATTAACATCGACAAAATTTGTGCAATCTCCAACGGATTCTGTTTTTCGATTTTCCCCCATTTGAGAGAACATCTCAATTCGAGCAGAATAAGTCCTGAGGGACAGCGATAATTTGAGAAGAGCATTTTCTGCTGACGTGAGAAAATTGCTCGTAATGTTAATCAACCTATCGTATGTCTCTTTATCTGTTGCCTCGTGAGTATCAAAATTGGACTTGTCGTCTTGAGATATCGTATCTACGAATTTCCAAAAATAATTGGCATTCTTATCGTTGAGATACTCAGCTGCTTCTAAAATAATTGGGGTATCCCTCCAATTAGCATTTATCAGTGTAGTTACATATTTGCTGAGTTTTTTGTCAGGACTCGCTGTACTTGAAAATCCCAACAGTAAACAGATGATACCAATGCGCCACATCTACAAAATCGATAAGCTGGTGAAAATTTATGTTGTGGATTCTTTAGAGGAACTATGAAGTTTAATTATCCATTCGGATTTTCAACGTTACCGTCAGTTTCTCTATGCACTAAATGTTTACGTATCAAAATTGTAAATCACTAAATGGAACATGTACACTGCAATTTATCCACGACAACAACCAATCCATGTATCGCACGTGCCGGTGGCCTTTCTACTCATTAAACACTAGAATGCCAGTTGCCAGCTTGTATTGCCATTTCGAAGACTCAGAGCAATTACATCAATTGCCCGCTGTTGGTATTAAATCGAGTGAGCCCCAGAAATCTGTTGTACCACGTCTATTCCTCATTTGGTTTTCCTCATTTTCACGTGGATGGAAGGAAAAATTAGTTGATACTAAAAAAATTAAAGAGGATTCTATTTCTCGACTGGTGATATCCCCTTCTCCTCATAGTGAAGAGCAAGTGCAACTTCTTCTAGAATTAATTCCAACAACGTGCCTTCGGTTTTGATACATTTGAAAGCAGAACATTTCTTCCTTATCCAGTGGTAGTGTTCAAGTATTTTAGACACTCTTTAGCCAAAATTCAGTTTTTTTTTCATTTTTTTGGCAAATTATTGCTGATATTGACGTGACCAATTATAACGTTTTTGTGTTTTGTCATTATTTAGTACCTCACGAAGTTTCCTGGTGGTACGATAATTTTCATGTGTTTTCTGCAGCTTCGTGATCTTCTTCAAAAAAAAAAGTTTGGAAAAGACGCAGGAAAATGTGTGCACTGCCTCAATTAAAACTTCGCGAGTCATTAACTAATTGAAAGACGTAAAAACGTTATATTTTTTCCATTTCAATCCCATCGTAAGTTTGCCGGAAGCATTAAAAAAATGTGAATTTTGTCAGAAAGGGTGTAGAACATTGTAAACGAAAACTACAAATCCGGCCAATCCCTCTAAGGAAAGAAATCGCAAACTAATTTCTTCCCTTAAAGACGACTGATAAGATGATAAAGAGAGAATGAAATGATCAACACATTTAACCTCGAAGAAACCTTAAATTTTAACCTTATGTTTAACTAAGATTTCGTAAATAGTTTTTATAACAATTCAATTCTTTCTCCAAAAAAATTTTACAAATTGGTTGAGAAATTCAATTAACATCTACCGAATAACTCATTAGCCGAAATTAAAGAGGGACACTACTAGCGCATGCGCAGTGATGACCATGTGTGTTCCCCCGCGAAAAAGCAAGTTTCAAAGAGATCTTGACATTAATTGTAATAATTCTGTTAAAACAAGCTGGGAGTCTAAAAACTCAGCGAACATATTTAGTTATGCTACAAATGTAGAGAAGATCACGAAAAATATTAAACTTACTTTAAATTACGAGGGACCATCGGATTGTACGTCGCAGGCTATCCGATTTTTAAATTTAATTCAAAAAACGTAAAATAGTGGAAATTGAAAAAAAAATGAAAAAAACGAAAACTTGTGGCACTATACGACGATAATTTCAAATCGATTTAGAATTTCAAAATTTTCAGTCCTTCAAAGTGTATTTTTTTCGGAAAGAAAAAAGAATGGTGAAAGAAATAATGACTATATTAAGAAAATAAATGGTATCTTTAGGGTGTTATTCACAAATAAATTGAATTTTATTAACTGAACTTAATGGATTCGTTACACTTTCATGATAGAATGGACAAGTATACATGGAGGATATATTGAATATATTTTTATTTATTCTATATATTGACTAGAGTTTTGTCGCATGGGCTCCCAATTAGTGATCATATAGGCGCGCGAAGCACGCCCCAAATGTTTATTAATGATAATAGTTAATTATATAAATATTATAATTAAAAAATAACATTAAAAACGAGCCTAAAATTGAATATATCTTTAGGGTTCCAAGCCGGACGGCTATTTTAATTTTAAAAGTATGGAGAAGATAACAGACATTCATCTCCAAAATGTCTAGAGTAAATTAAAAAAAAATCGGACTCCAATTTGCAGACAGTATACCCAAAAAAATCTATATTCTATTTTAATTGTGAAAGGCGTAAAGCCGTACAGGGGAAATTTGAAAATAAAGATTCATTCATTCTATATTCAGTTTTTATATTTATTATAATGTAATTCATCAAACCTGGTTGTGACTGACCACACAGAAAAAATGTCTCTGGTCAAATATATTTTCTTCCCACCAATAAAACGTGCAATTACTGTGTAAATACTCCCATAAGATTTACTAATGCCAAATATATTTTCTTGTGTTCAGTAAATATTCTAAAAGAACTTTTTTTCTCTGTACATCGCCTGAGGGTCTCGGAGAAAAATGGTATTCGTAATCGGTAAGTGAATTGTGAGCTGTTTGTAATTTAGATTGAATATTGTTATCATCGTAGGAAATTCAATAATGTAAATAACAATTCCCCATAAAGATAAAAGAGAATGAGTATTTTTCAACGGATTTCGAATCAGACCGACTAATCACCAATCAGTGATAATGTGGTACAAGAGGATGACATGTGTAAAACACGTTACTGCGTGTTGTGTTCACGTCCCAAGCGGCTGATCTATTCACGCGTTCATGCATTTGCAGTGATGTCGTTAAAAAATGACAGCTCAAACATTTGAAGATAAAACAATAGTTACAAATGCGATAGGAAATATTTCCCATCGTAATGGAGATTCTCGTTTCAATCTATCAAGTGCACTGGCCAATTAAATATTACCATAAATCTGCAAATTCTGTCCTAGATAACTCCCGAGTATAACTCTCGAGTCATTAATTATTTTCCACTCTGAATATATATAGCTGCCTAACGTTACAGAAATAGAAATAACAACATAAAGAGACTGAGGGAGACAGATGGAGAAATAAAACCGGTATCAATGGGCTCTTGTGAGCTTATATCATCGATGCATGTCGTAACAATTGTCTGGATTCTTTTATAAAATATGTGAATGTTTATAAATTAAAAATTTAGCCATCTCAATGTTTACGAATTCACCAGTTCCTTTGGCATCTTTCCTTTGTTCAAACATGTCATTAACTTTATTCGCCTCGCCTCGATAAAATGTCTGACAACCTGCACGTAGTTTCGATTTACCTGGCCATTTCTTATTTTCTATTAAAATCCGCAATTAAAATGTGCAATGGAAAATTGCAAACAATCTAATGAGTTTAGGAGAGAATCTAGAAATATTGCACGTGCATATCTCTGCTTTAAAGAGGTCAGCGCAAATAATAATAAAAATAGACACAAGTTTGTGATTAATGACATAAAAATTACGCGATACTCCGAAATGGGGTAACTGCAATGGTATGAATATTTTACCTCTCGGATTACCGGAGTTCCACCCAGAGAACGGTTTGTCTAGCAAACATTCGACGTTTTTTTAATAAAAAATGAATGTTCAAAGTCATTCCTCACTGCCTACGCTGTTGTGAATTGTTTTGAAATTTAAGTAACAGATGTATTTGTATTTTTAATTTACTCAGCACCTGAATTCACTTTCAAACTAAATTGATCGCAGACTTCTCGAATATTGGTAATATAATAAACCCATGTTTTTTAGGATGAATGATTTCTAAATTTTCACTAACAATTTAAATTGTAAAATCCATCACAAAAATTGAGTATTAGATTCGATTGGTTTCTTAACAGATTGAAAATTCAGATAAACGGGTGACCGAATTATCGTAATTATCGCTAATTTCTGATATCATCAACCTCAGACATCGAATTTCTTTGGATATTCGAGGAAAATGACTTATTCATAAATAACAAGGCCACTGGAAATTCGATGTAATGTATTTGTTGTTGAAAAGTTGAAAATTTTTTACTTGAAATTCATAGAGTTATTTTCTACCAGCGCAGACAGCGATGAAAAAAAGTGAAATCAACTTGTTTTCAATTCAACTCGTCATACCTGGTGAGAAAAAAAATGCAAATGTAATGACACGAGTGTCGTCTGGTATTTTGTGCATGTGCATACACAGAGAATAAAAATTATTGATGATTTTTCTCTATGGTTACTAGTATTCGGAGACTATTGTTATTTATTATGAATAACTATTTTTTTGAGCGAAGTATTTGTTAGTTTAATACCGCATCCCCCTCCCTTCTCCAGTCATTTACAGAAATCCCCATTAGGCTTTAATTATTATAATTACATTGCTCTCAAAAAACATCATCTTAATTAGAAATCTGTAAATGAATTTCAAAGAAACAGGATTTTGAAATTAAAAATAAGTGTCTCCGATAAATGTAACTATGAAAAAAGCAAATATATATGGATAAGTAGAACTTATTAACTGTATATTCATAGAAAAAACAATAAAAATGAGAAAAAGATCCACATGCAAACAGTACATGAATATAAAATATCTAATATTGAATACACATAGGTTTTTCCCATCAAACCCATTTTGAATTGTATCAAGCTATTCCAATTGACGCAATACTTTTTTATTTTTATTGATTGATTTCATAATTGATTAATTCCACAGAAATAGTGATGTCTATGTTAGTTGGCCATTCAGATGCACTTCGAAGTCCTCAGCCTAATGATCAAGACATATTGGCAGACACTTTGGCAGAATCTGGTAGAAAAATATTGATGTACTCTTCGAGTGTACTAATTTTGAAGTACCTATATCAATCAGTATGGTCATAGTACTGACAGTGACAGTACCTTTTGAGACATTTCTTGAGAACGGTAGCAGAAAATTATCAAATTTGAATGAAATAAATGAGAAACGCGTGGCGGCACAACATTTCGTATGTCAATTCTGAGTATGATGTATGATATGATAGATTAAATGATGAATAAATTCATTATTTAAGACACGATACTGGCATAAATACTCTTGAATATCGTAGCACCCACTGAACAATCACATATTCAGAAAATTTATTCATCTCCAAGAATGTTCAAGGAAATGTCTGGTCATTCAGCACTCGTGTATTCAGCAAATGATGAAAACTGTGATTTCGTGATAATCACTATTTCCGTGGAATCACGCATACAGGTGATATATTGGGTTTTTGGCCGGATTATATGTGCATATATGATTGATGTATACTTGGCATATTGCAGGGAAAGTAAGACCTCCTACTATTTTAACATGCGATTCGACCATTTATTTCATTTTAACAACTCTACTTTAAATGTGAATTCAATATAATTCAAGCGTAAAATGATAATAATTTTCGATGTTGATTCCTCAAGAGTTTGTTAAATAGTGTCACCTCTGCAGGGTGTCTGCTCTAAAAACAAAGCCCTTTGTCTATTAAGTTTATGGAGAAATTAATATTTCCCACTATTTGATTGTACGGCTCGATCTTTTATTTATTTTTAACAATTTCGCTTTAGTTAAGGATTTGATATAATTCTAGCTGTGTTGATAATTTCCAATGTTGCTTGCTGGAGAGTTGTTTTAATTAAGTGTCCTCTGACCGCTAATTCGGGCAGGATGTGAGGTCTACCCATAAGACAAGGCCCTTTGTCTATCGGGTTGATCCACGTGTTGAGTTGTTTAAGAGATAAACAGCCTGGATAAACCTGGAGTGTCTCGTATGATCTGTTAGAACAGGTCGCCTGTTCGTGTCGAAAATATTTCCACCAGTAAATACCGTTTTCCATGTGGGGTTGGAGGAGTGTAGATTGTCTAGGATTGCATGACGATTGGGGCGCGCCGTGGCCGCTGTAGCAGAATGATGCCATGACGTATCGAGCGGAGTTTTCACGCAGACTGACGTCACGATCACGACCAATCGCGACCTCAGTCAGACAGTGAGCACGTGAACAGCACGTTGGCGATCACGCAAGTACCAAATGACGATTGAACTGCCATTGGCTGGTGGAATCGAGCCCCTCAACCTCATTGGTCGAGCCAAAGCACACCGCATGAACACCAATACAATCGGACAATAACACATCGTGCTGTACGACCAAGGTACCATCTCGCAAGGCTTCATTACACCACACGACGCCCAACCACTACCTTCATTACTCTGCATTTTCTATATTATTACTATATCATTATTTTATTATATTCTATAAACATTTATTCCCTATTCTCCTCACCTCTTCATGAACATTTTATTTTATCGTTTTCTTCGTCAGACATTCAGTGAATGTTCGTTGAATTTCTCTCGGTGATTCACTGCAAATAATTGTTTAAACAATGGATCTAAGTACAGTGCCACTTTCACCACCTGCTTCGCCTCAGCTAAAACAAGTTCATGTGAGTATTTCATTGATTCGATGAATGTACGGTGGGTTTAATGGGTTGTAGAGTGTTTTTTAATTTTGGATTTATTGTGGGATTGTTTGAATGGGCCGCGCTTTTGAGTGCGCAGGAATGTTCGGGCCTGTCCGCGGTATTTTTCAAGAGTTGCAGTGATAGAGGGTTTCAAAGTACGTGGAAAATAATGAGAATTTATGAATTTTTTGTTTTTGATATTAAGGTGGAGCCTCTGGTGTCGTCGTTCAGTGTTGAGGCTCTTTTGCGAAAGGAGTCAGTGCGTGTTCAACCGGATTTGCCACCTACACCTCAATCATCTGACAATGAAGAAGATGAACAGCCGGCACGTAAACGCCGCTGTATACAGGCGCAATGTCAATTTACCGAGGTAATTACAATATTATAACATCTTCACACTGGTAATGAGTAAACAGCGTAATGAACCCTATTAAAAATCGACAAAATTTCTATGATTTACAATTTTCTGCGTTTTTTTTTAAATATATTTTTCACAATATAAAGCACGAAATAATTTAATTTATCGCTGCGGCAGGTTTTCGAAAAGCTCTCCCAAATTAAGCAGATTCTGAAATTTTTATGAAAATCTTTTTTGTAGATCTGAATCAAAACTATAGAAATAAACTCTTTGAGAAATGTATGAGAAATTATTTTAACTTGATTTAATTTCAATGAAAAAAGCTTTTTTTTCTAATATATGTCTTAGATTTTTTTTTTCCGCGATAGGGCGAAGGGACACCTTAATTTCCACTGATTCCCAACTAACCGGAAGATTAATTAATAATGAACATGTTTTTTGTGACAGATTCTGCTACACGGCACACCACCACCAAGTCCAGAGCCAACTCGGGCCTCAGTGATAATGCACGCAAATCGTGATGGCACCTGTCATCCAGCAACCCTTCCAATTCCACCAATGAAATCACCAAGCAGTCTTCAAAATGGGGATTCCTCGTCAACCACAAGAGTAAATTTAGTCCAACAAAAATGGCCGGAATGTGAAAATTCCCTTAAAAATCTTCAATTCAAAATGAGCCTGTGTAAAGAGGAAATCATAGTAAATAGTAAAAATACCGACCGTGAGAGCACGAGGATGGAAAAAATGGAAGTACAAAAATTACAACCACTAGCACCAAAACCAGCACCAATGGGACAGATAACAATGGTACCAGTAACAGGCATATTTGGCACACCCATGGTACTTCCTCGAACTCCTCTTCTTCTTGTTACAACACCATCGACAGTTACCGCAAATACAAAACCCACCTCGGCTGATGCTGGGGCTCGAAGACGTGTTTACGAGTGCGAGCATCCAGGCTGTGGCAAAAATTATTTCAAATCATCTCACTTAAAAGCACATACCCGAACACACACTGGAGAAAGACCATTTCCTTGCCCTTACGACGACTGTGGCCGGAGATTCTCCAGGAGTGATGAATTATCGCGTCATAAAAGAACTCACACTGGAGAGAAGAAATTTGTTTGTTCGGTCTGTCAAAGACGATTTATGCGAAGTGATCACTTAGCAAAACATGTGAAGAGGCATGTCAGAGATAAAAATTCGCCTGATACGTTCAATACCAATACATCGTTATCAACTTGTCAAAGAACTACAAGTGCATCTCAATCACAAATGGGACAAAGATCATTGACGGTTAATCTGCTTCCAGTTCTTGCGTCCAGACTGACACACCTACCAAATTTAATACCACCCCAACTTGCCGCATAAATTATTCATTTTTATTCCTCTAGTCCTTCTGGTATAACTAATTCTACTCTCAAACCATCCATAAACTATATCGTATTCTATCATGAAAGTCATCATGATTTCTACTTATCGAACAAAATGAGTAATTATTAATAATGTAAGTGTGCCTGTGATCTCTGATGTGTTTCAAGAAGAAAAGTCGAGGGAATGATGCTGAAAAATAATGTTTACCTGAGATTGAAATATTATGTAAATAGTTTATGTTCAAATGCTAAGACTTCTCCATAGGATTATTTTGCATATAATATTATTGTATATAAAAGATGAATACAGAGTTATGTACTTTCTTAAAAATATGACAATTTTCATGGAAGGATTATCAATCCATATCCACTTACCACACCCAAACTATTTATTACAAAGAGTTCACTTCTTCGGACTATTTTTTCATTACATATTTATCTGGACAGCAGAATATTAAACATTTCGTGTGATTTTTTTTTGTCACATGGTCAATCATTAAAGCTCATTTTCAGTGAAGTAGGCTATATTTAATGTCTAACGTAGAAAGTTTTTATAATGACATCTTGCAATGACCAGAAAATCATTGAAAAATGGAATTTCAATTAAAATGAGTGACTAATAGAGAGAAAGAAAGGTATTAATCACTTTCTATTACAACTTCCGATAGTAAATCGAGCTAATGACTGCTCTATGACTATCACACGCTTGTACCCAAAAAAATTATCTTAATTCTTTGACAATAAATATCTAAAGGTCAAATTTTTATATCGACCTGTTCTAAATTTAGAAACAAGTTATCAAAAGTAGAGTTATTTCTATTCTAATGACTACTCCACTGAAACAAATCAAAACATTGAATATTTATCAACCAAGAGGATTAGAATATTTTCGAATTTTGGAGAAATTTGTTGATGAGCAATGAAATTCTTCGATCAGTACGTACAGACTTGATTTATTAATTGTTCATTGTGGGCTTTGGTCAGGGTCCTTAGAAATTACTTGGAACGACTGTACGATATTTAGTCTATGTACTAGAGGTCAAAAGGTAATTACTCCAAGGCTTCCTGGATGGACTTTGACTTGTTTTCGTCTTGTGGATGGCAAAACTCGAATTTATTGACCTGTCTGCTCGAGTACTTCACGCTCCCAAGTATTATGAACAATTTAATTTTTGAGCTGCCAGAGCTAAAATGATGTTCATTATGTTTGATTACGAAATAATCAATTGAAAAGTATTCCCCCGTTGGAGACGAAGAGGCTCTTCTACCATAATAGGCTGTTTAGTAATTAAGATAGATCTGTATTTTTGATCTAGCATCACGCTAGCTCGGCGTGAAGCTCAGGCGAAGAATGAAAGGTTTTCTATCTCGGCTGCTCATTAAGATAGCAACCGGAATTTAAATATATTTTTTTTTCCCGACTTAATAAGGGAACATGGTTGCCTAATGCACGATTAAATCATTCAACCATGGAATCCATTGGTCTCTAATTTGTGTGCAAATCAATTAGGACCTTGACCAACGATATCAACGATGAACGATATTTTCAATTTGGATGTAAAAAAGAGCAAATCAGTATGTGGAAACCGAAGTTATGTATTTGTTCTATCGTTATCAAAGATATAGAAATGAGGTGATGCTCAGAAATCAATGGAATAATTTGAGGATCAATTGGTCTGTATGGAAAATAGGACACATTGTGAAATGATTGTAGTTAAGGAATTGAGAATTTTCCCATTATTTCTTTAAGTTGAGGATTAAAAAATGAGTTTTGTAGTAAAGTTAAGGGCCGGATGGAGTATCTCGGAAAGATAGTTTACTCCAAAATTGGGATTCCTAATTACTCTGTCAATTAATTGTTTTTTCCGATAATTGTTAGCTAGCGTTCTAGTCGTTGACAACAGCTAGAACGCTAGCTAACGATTAATTGCCAGAGTAATTAGGAATCCCAATTTTGGAGTAAATTATCTTTTCCAGATAATCCAACTGGTCCTTAAGGCTCGGGTGGACTATCTAGAAAAGATAATTTACTCCGAAATTCGGATTCCTAATTATTTTGGCAATTAATCGTTTTTTTCAATAATTGTTAGCTAGCGTTCTAGCGATTGTCAACAACTAAGCCGCTAGCTAACAATTATCGGAAAAAACGATTAATTGACGGAGTAATTAAAAGTCCCAATTTTGGAGTAAATTATCTTTTCCGGACAGTCCATCCGGGCCTTAACTTGTTCTCCAAAATCTGTTATAAAGTCGATGGCTGAAACGATTTTTTTACATTTGTTCGATCTGATTTTGCCATTTGTAACGATTAGTTAAGAAAAAGAAAGGGTTTTGGGAAATGTACTTTTTTTTTCCAAAAGATTTTGTATCACACCCATGAGGCTAATGGAAAGTTGATGAATAATCAAGGTTTTTCAACATATTTTTGAAACAACTAATGAATCTTCGAATTGAATGAGTTGCCAAAGGAATGCGTGAGAAACCTTCCGCATAAAAATTCAGTACTAGAAAAAAAATTTATAAAAACGGAAAAGTCCTTTGGATACCAATGGCATACATAAAGAAAATTAGAAGGAAATTCCAGTATTGGGTGTTCAAGAATATCTGAGTACTGCTAGAATTATTCAGTATCTGACATCTTCGTGTTGGTGATTGATAGTTAATTATAAAAGCAAAAACTTGTGTTCATTCATTTTTTGAAATTATAGATTTTGGCAATCTTCTCCAACTCGGAGAAATTTTGACTATTCTTAAAAATTTTATTAATATGATAGTAATGTAATGAAAATAATACGTTGCAATTTCTGAACTATCTGAAACAATTGCATTGCGAATGATTCATTGCAATACAATGAATAACAACAGGTGCACAATTGAATTCTGCTTTCAATTTGTAAGAGAAAGGAATTTACATGTAGAGTATCCGACGAGTTTTCAATCATTCTGGTAAAGTAGACCTAGTTGAAGAGGAGAGTCAGGACCATTAATTTCCATTCCATACAGTGAAGCAAAAATTTGTTAAGAAATTTCTGTAAATTTACTTGGCACAAGTCAAGATGTGTTAATATTCGGATTTCAAATGTGGTAAGCGTATTTTTTTTCCGAAGTGTACATTCTTCTAACGAGAATTGATGACGAAAAATGTGTAGATATAGTATGTTTGTAGATGTAACTTCTCGTCAAGAAAAAATTAAACTTGAGTGAAATTAAAAAGGTCGAGAGGCCTAGGGTATGAGATCAATGGACTATCAAACTGAGGGGATAGTATCCAACACGTTTTTCGGTGATAAAATATTTCACCATGTTACGTCTTTCTCGATTATGTTACATGAAGAATTCCTCATTTTCAAATGTTCATGTGTCATTGGCAACAGTTGTACTTGAACATAAGTTTCTATTTAGAAAGGAAAATACATGCAAGTATCTCGTTAAAACGAAATTCAGATATCCTTAAGATAATATAATAGGAAATATCCTTGGTATAATAGGCAAGTATAGCGTATGTAGATAATTTTTCTGAATTTTCCATAAAGTTCTGTGATTTTTTGCACGTTAATTTTATCAATCGATTCTCTGAAATTTGCCGAAAATCTGAAACATTCAAAGATATCGGCACCAACGCTTAATGCGAGGAAATCTTCTAGTTTTTTTTTCAACAAACGAGTGGTTCCTGTCATAATTGCATTATATTGATATTATATATATATATATTATTATATAATCATAATAATAATAATTTATTATTATTACTATGATTATACATGATTTTATTGATGACTCAATGAAAGAAACTGAAATAATCACCAGCAATGCGAGAAGTGCTAAATAAATTCTCCAGCACTTTTTATGTCCAAAATAAATAATTCAATAATGGATAAGTGTCTTGAAGTTATTCCCAATGATTTTACGAGATTTGAAGTCCTTTGAGACGTATGCAATAAGCATTACGTTTCCTGCGCCATTACCGAGGACTAGAATGATTGCATCTCTAATTGAATTATCCTCATCTTCAAATCCAGTTTGTCGTCAATAACGTTTCTCTTAATGGTCTATCAGATGCCGGTAAAACATTACGTTAAATCCAATTTACATAATTTTTTATGCATTCTACCGACCAGCATAATGAATAAATAATTTTTAGAACAGTCAATTGTTGAAGTTTTTCACAGTCAATGAAAATGAGTATTCAATTTGTTAATCAAGCCTCCATATTAATTTTTCCTGGTCAATGAAACTTCTGATCTACTTGCATCAGCTTGAGGACCCCGCCTTCTTTTTTTTTTCATAAAATGGCATTAACGAGTAGACAAGGCGTGCTGGACCGGTAAATGACGCAAGATGCGTACACTGTTACCAAGATTTATATTTATTAACACAATAATTTGTATAACAAATTATCGTACTGAAGTGAACTCTTTAGACTTGGAAAGTGTCGAGTTTTTTCCTTACGAACCAATTGATTCTCCTGGTGGTTAATTAAGAGTTAATCGCAGGAAACTGATGGCAGGAAAAGAAACAAACGCAATGGTATAATAATAATGAAAAATTACTATTTATGGAAAATTGATATTACATTACCATTTTTTCCGTTCTTATTCTGGGGATGGGAGCAATTTCTTCATTTCTTTCAAAAATATATTCATAACAACATTTCAATATTCATAGAAAATATGAAAATGTAAGCGTTTTACATTTTGTTTTGCATATAAAACCTCTATAAAATGCGATAATTCTCAACAAATGGGAGAAAAATTGACTGAAATGTGGGATATTCTATAAGTTTTATCATCCAGGAATTATTCGGCCATAAGTAATACGCCGGCTTTTCAATTTTCAATTAAAAAATATAAACTGATTACTAAATGGAAAAAACGGTGGATTTTCAGGCCGAATGTCTTTTCCTTGATTCATAAAGTAGCGCAAATATTTTCTAAGTAGTCCTCATGGATTCACTGGATGCTGGAAATTCTGTACGAAATTGTAAAAGTCTATAAATTGTTCAGCAGTCTGGTTTACTTGGCGTGGAACTTTTTTGTTGAATCTCCTGCCATAGCGTAAAGGGTTTGACAGGGTTTGTACGCGTCTCCGTAGTGAGTACCGTATTCCTCCATTTTCCTGACGAGATTACCGGCTCCATACCAGTCAACCCACCTGAATGGACCACCAGTGAATGGTGGGAAGCCAAGACCAAATACAGCCCCAATGTCACCCTCCAGCTAGAAGGACAACACAAATTAATTATTCATTCAATCGTTTTTATTAAATGTTTCTGCTGGTCGTTATTTATATCTAAACGAGTGGGATATTGCTTTCATTCTCTCTGAACTACAGTTCATTTTCTAGCGAAGTAGCAAGATGCATCAGAATTATTTAAGAAATATAAACAATCGATATTATTAATAAATTTTGAACGAATATTTTAAGCTAGTAGTATAAGGCTTTTGAGTATTGTTTTTTGAGTAATTGTTTAACCATGATAAGATGCACTCAAAATAGGGATGTGAACAAAAAACATTATGGCCTAATAGTTGTCTGAAAAGGTGAATTTTGACGATGAAATATATCTACTGTCCATTTTAACTTTCAAAGGAATTTTCAGTAAAATTTCCTCATGAGTACCCTTTTAATGAATCTGTTCATCTTTCGTAGGTCCATGATATTTTTTAAATTAATGAAATAAGCCATCATTCTTAGCGCCAATGAAAAAAGCTGTGGAAATATTTATATTAAAGTCTAGAGATTGAATTCTAAAATATTTTCTCGAAGGTTTCGAAGTAATTTCGGCATTTCAGGAAAATCCATTTTTAGAAAAAATGGTCAGAAACTATCTTGCTTCTTGGATATTGGTTAATTGATATGTGATGATGACCTATCAATTGGTATCTTCAATATATAGAATATATGATGTGAGTAGAACTTACAGGGTTAGCCAGAATATTTTCTTCAAGGCACAACACAGCCTCGTTAACGAATCGAGTAACCATCCTCAATTGAATATCTTCATCAGCATTGCTACCTTTCGGTTCTATGCTGTATTTCTTCATGATATCTAAAGCTCCAAGATTGACATCTCTATCTTTCCTGCCCGCTTCGTAGACGTAAATTCCTTTGCCTGATTTTCGACCTGAATAACAGAAATGGTTGAAAATATTGAATTGCTCCATAATAAAACCGAACAATAAGGAGAAAAATTTAATAAAGTTGACCTACATCCCTCCAGAAAATCTTTGAGGACGATTCTCTAAAGAATTCAAAGTCATTTCTAATCACAAGATTTTTCCGCAATAAAAGTATCTTGTGCACCAAGGGGGGAAAGCAAGGGCATTCTAACTCGCGTAGATATGAAGGTGGTAACCACGCGGGTTTAAATATCCTGTTTCCCTTTCTCAGTACCCATTGTTCTTTCTAGATGAAATTCCATGTATTATCCAACATACATCATACATAATCTTTAGTTGAAACTTGACCTTGTCAGCCTAAAATATTTATAAATTTGGATATCAACTTATCTTGCGGAAACCACTTGAATGGCTATTAAAAAATACTGATAAAAAACAAGAAAAATTATTGAAGGGTAGCAAACGGAAATTTGAGTCCAAAAGATCTACCAAGTTGGCAGAAAAATAATTGAAAACACGCCATTTACAAATCTCCCTGATACGGAAAATGTATACATTTAATAGTCGATAAGAATAAAGAAGCAAAATGTGTAAAAGAAAACAAAAAATTGTAGGATGTGTAGGAATTATCATCAAGTGCGAAAAGGACTTACCCAAAAATCCAGCTTTGACCATTTCACTCATAATCTGAATATTGCCACCTTGGAACCTGGTACCAAATGCTTTAGAAAGATCAGCACTGATATGGGCGCCAACATCAATACCAACTTCATCGGAAAGTGTTGCAACTCCAACAGGAAATCCAAATTTCTTCGTCAATTTATCCAAACGAGTAGGGTCAATCCCCTCCTGAAGTAATCGCAACATCTCCGACAACATAGTACTGAGAATTCTAGTCGTGTAGAATCCAGGACCATCGCCAACAATAATAACGATTTTTCCCTGTTTCAGTCCAACATCAACAGCAGTTTTGATTGATTCCGTACTTGTTCCCTTATGCGTGATTATCTCAAGAAGTTGCATTTTCTCTACTGGTGAGAAGTAATGCATGCCAATGACTTTATCAGGACGACTGCTTCCAGCAGCAATTTTAGTGATTGGAATGGCTGATGTGTTTGTGGCAACAACACAATGCTCTGGGGTATTGGCTTCAATTTCTTGAATGACTTTATGTTTTACAGCTAGATCTTCAAAGACAGCTTCAATGACAACATCAGTATCTTTGAAATCATTGTAATGCAAGGTAGGAATGAGATTAGTCATTATTTGACTCTGCTCTACCTGGCTAATGCGTTTTCGCTTTAATGCCCCCGCGTAGTGTTTCTGGACTTGTCCAACACCCCTTGAGAGTCCATTGTCAGTGGTGTCCTTCATGACAACACTATAGCCTTTGTCTACACTGACAGTTGCTATACCTGCGCCCATCAGTCCAGCTCCAACCACTGCGATCTTCTTCACTTGATTTTTCGGAGTGCCAAAACGATTCTTCTTACACGCAGTCTGACCGAAGAATAGACTAATGAGGCCTTTTGATTGGGGAGTTTGCGACAAATGGGCGAAACCACGAGCCTCTGCTTCATAACCAGCTGCTGAACCCTTGTCCACTCCTACACGAATCACCTCTAAGATTTTCAGCGGTGCAGGATACAGACCATTCGTCATCTTCAGGACTTGTTCCTTCGATTTCTTGAATATTTGTTCCTTTACTATATCTAATGTAAATGCCCAATTCATGATTTGACCTGTCAATGACTTTGGAGAGCGATCAATCTTCAGTGTTCCATTGGCTATGTCTTTCGCTACTTTTATCGCTGTCTCTTCTAAGTACCTCAGTGTACTGAAAGTTCAAATGAATTATCATTTACGGGGAAATATCTATATTTTGCTTCCGAATGGAAGCATTGTCTTTTATTACCTATCACCTAAATTGAATCCCGGCTGATTCTTTTGGAAGGATAAATGCAAGTGAGACGACTTAGTTCTTCCACGAATTTTTGGCAATATCTTCGAAACTGAAGGAAGTGGCGAAATTTGTATAGTAAATTTTGTTGTGGCTCTCAAATGACTCTGCAAAAAAGACTTTGATTGAAGTTTTCAATCTTTCTTGATTTCGATATTTCAGAATAATCTTCAAATGACTCTGCAAATAAAGCCTTTGATAAAATGTGTCGAAATGTTTTTTAATTTCCATGATGTTAGATAAGACTAGTTATCTCCTTTTGCCACTTCATCAAAAATATATTTCTTAGGTTTACACGAACTAATGAACATTTAAATGAATAAAAAAACAACAATTTGAAATTGGAAAACGGAAAACGTTGTCTTGCATTGTTACACGAAGTAGATTTGGTTTAGGTCATAATTTTTGTGACTTTCTAATGTGTCCGATCATAGCTCATAAATTGCACAGTTCTCATGAAGAAACACGTGGAACATTGACTTAATTTTGCCTATAGCATTATTTCTGTGTTAATAAATTAGCAAGATGCTTTCGAATGGATTAAAATTCTTGGAGTGATCTAAAATATTTGATATTCGTGTTATTAATAATGCTTATGTTAATATTCTAACCATCTATTTTTGACCTTTAATATTCGAATCCTCAAATTTTTTTTTTCCGTATTTTTTCCGTATTTTTTTTAGTAAGATATAAAATTTTTTCAATAACTAATCATGTAGTGAATCCCAAAGGTGAGCTTGACACTCAAAATAATCGATGGACGAATATTTTAAGTGGCAATTGAATAGATTTCAATAATTACTTTTTGAGGCATCGTCGTAAAAACAAAATATACGCATTCTACAGGTCAGAGCTGATTGTTTTGATAAAAAAATTGGTAGGCTCGGTTTTAATTGATTAAATGCCTCCATTTGGAAGGAAAGAATAGCGAAATGAAAGATACTTGTTCTCAGGTGTGCTAAGACCGGGTCCCAGATGATCAACTAGTAAATCAATAATCCCCAATTTCTTAGCTTTATCAGCCTTGAGCATTGAGCCAGTAAGAGCTAAACTGAGGGCGTCTGGGAGTGCTATCAGTTTAGGTAACCTCTGAGTACCTCCACCGCCAGGGAGGAGACCGAGCTTCACCTCTGGCAATCCTATAACTGTCTTTTTGTCCTTGACAGCTAAGCGGTACTGGCAAGCCAATGCCACCTGTGAAAAAATAAAAAAATAAACAAAAATTTAATAATCTTGTAACAAAATTCCCGGAAATAATACCACAAGAACTTAAAATTATTCGAGCAATTTCGAAAGGTATTAGGGGAAAAATTTTATCATCCAAATTGTCACCAATAGAATAGCGAAAATCGCCGAATCCATTCATTGTTAATGACAATTGTTTAATTAACGCAATGAAATTCAATTCGTCAGATTCAATTGAAGATTGCATAGAGTGGTTAATCCTTCATTTTTGCTAAAGATATACAACATGAAAAATTGTCAATGAAATTATCAAGAAACCTAAATACTATGTGGACTATATAAAATAACAACTAATGGTGAAATTTGATCGGCTGAAATTTGAATGAGGAAAATTTCCATAGTATTAACCATTCCGTCAGTTTTTTTAATATTGCAGAAATTCAGTAGATAAGTGGTAATTTAAGATAAGCGCACTTTTTTCAAGCCTAGTTTATACCTAATATCTCGAAATTGAAGGAAGATAACGATATGTTTGCACTCACATTTTTTTTAGAGAAAACGGAGAGGCGTAAAAATATGTATCTATAAACATGTCAGTATTCTTCTTCAACTCCAAGATATTTGCGAAAATCTTCGAAAAAAATGCACTCATCCTAGAGTACCATTTACTAACGAAGTTTAAATGAATTAACATCTAGAAATTAAAAAATGTTGTCAAAAAATTCTCCTTCTGTACTTTTCGGAATTCGGGATAGGATTATCTAAATATTTTCGAGTATAGACCGTGACAATTGTTCCAGTTTTTAAGAATTGTAGCTCGTTATTGATGAAAGCAATTAATTTTACCTCTAAACCACCACCCAGACAAGTGCCTTTGATAGCAGCAATAATAGGTTTTTTGCTGTCAGCTATCCTGTCAATAATTGCATGGCCAGCTTTTGACACCTTATAAACTTCCTCTTCATTCTTTAAATTCTGTAACATAGATATATCGGCACCAGCAATAAAACTGTTTGGTTTTCCACTTATTATCACCGCAGATTTAATAGCAGAATTATTCTCTATTTCTCCCATCAAAGTCCGCATTTCTTCCATCAATTCAGCATTCAAGGTGTTCTCCTGAGCATGAAAAAATTCAATTTAGTAATCTTTATATTCCCTCGTGTTTTCATGACTGTTCCTACGAAATTCACCTTGACACCTGGTGAATCGAGTGTGATAACAGCCACATCATCGATGAGTTTGTATTTTGTGTGCTTGTTTGTTGCAGCAGTTGCTAAAAATCTCAGTGACGACTGATATCCTGCACAGAGATAAGAATTCATGAGACTAGTAATTCTATAATTCAATAGTCACTCGAATATCGCGTTCGAAATCAACAATCATACGAATTTTCAAGTAGGGTACAAAGGTTAATTTTCGATTGATGAGATGAATGTGCAATTTTTATAAATATCACTTTTACATAATTAAAATATGATTCTGTAAAGAGTGAATTGATTAGTGAAGAGTCTAAAATTACCTGATAGTGTAAGACAGTCATGATTAATTCGTGAAAATCTTTTCAGCGCCCCAAAAATTCGCAAACTTGCCATCTTAGCCTTACGCTTAGCCTGTACAAGTGCAATCTGACTGAATGTACTGAATCCGCTGAATCCTCAATGTGCTAGCGAACCGTGTAAAGAACTCTCTTCGGAAAACTTCGGCCTTCTATCTATGATCTTGCGAGTACCCCCACTATTCTCCTAAAGCCGGCCCAAATCAACATAACACTCGGCAATTTTCAAATTAGGGCTATAGAGACTATAGCTCATCCAGTACATAATCTAGTTCTGAAGAGAAATTTTAGCTCTAGTTTTGAGAGGTGGGAACCAAGGATATGAGTGAAAATTGGAAAAAGTAGGAATAATTTTTCAGGGCTATAATATCACAAGTACGTCTATATGTTCAATAGATTGTGTTCGATATTATAGAGGGGTTGCCGGCGCTCAAGAGGCGGCGATTTCTGATTGGTGCGGCCATTTTCGGCCGAAACGGCGGGCTTTTTCGATTACTTCATAAGTTTAATGTCACATTTCCCTCGCTTTAATGTTAAATGGGGTAATGAATGGAACAAAATCATTTATTGGTATGCACTTAATTTATTCTTGCCAATTGTTTTTTTTTAATATATCTGCGTTAATACCAAAAATGATGGTGACCCGTTGCCAGTACTTATGCAAAGGCTACAAAGAATTTCCATAGCGGTGGCGTATGTACTAATCTGAAGAACGTACGTGTCAATAAGGACGAACGCAACGACGAAACCGTCGATAATTTTGAGAGTGCATGAATTTTAAGAGCACAATAATTTGGACTGACCAAATTTTCAGGAATTTTCTTGAGTTCAAGGAGTATGTAAATTGAATGGAAAAGCGAAGAAACGATGCTAAACGTTTCTGCTGAACAGTAATAGATCGGTGCAACAATTTCATTTTTGTTACAAAATCCAATTTGCAATACGTTCATTAATATGCAAATTAATGAAAAAACATGTTTACAGTTTACTTTTCTTCAAAAAAGGGATAAGATTCACATTAAAGAATTCATCGTTATATTTTAAACGGGGGATTCCCAAGCTAATTAATCCCAATATTCCCAATGATGAACTCATTGTCAGAAAAAATCTTTGCTGCCCCTTAATTGATCAAAAATTCATCGAAAATGAATTCATGTCAATCAGAGATTAATATTCCAAGTATACAAGGTGACTCTTCCAGTCAAGTGCCAAGGACCAAATAGCAATCGAAGGATCTGTCAGGGATCTCTGCAGACAAAGAACTTGAGACGATAAATTCACGCCAAATCTGAAGCTGATTTTTTTAGCTGCTGACGCTCAGCTGAGCTACTAACGCCCTTCAATAATTTCCACGTTATTGGATGAGAGAGTAAATCGATACATAAACCCTCCACCAGCGGCTGAGTGAAGCAAATGACTCTTTGTGTATCGGACGATCTTTCCAAACCCCGGAATATTAGGACTACATGGAAACACCTCGATTATCCTTCAATGCTGCTCTGAAAAAGTTTTCACTGTTATTAAACAATAATTCCCGACAATTATTCTTCTCCTTTTTCGATTTTTTTACAAATATCTGAAAAACGGTTGATAAAATTGACCTAGAAAAATATATCGTTTTTTATTTCATTATTATTCAACGTCTTACAAAGGTTTGTTGACGTGGAGAAATTTTCCTACGCTCTCTGTGAACTTTTGAAAATATTCACAAAACTGCACAAAAAATGAGACAAGTAGACGCACAACTATAAAAATTTAGGAGTCATTAAATAATGATAAAATAGAGGAACGATACATTTTTT